CCCCTTCTTTAGTTTTCTCTTTTCTTTTGTAGTGGTAGTTTAATAAAGTTTTTTTCCTGTTATTAAGCTTGGGCCTGCTTTGCTCTATTCTAGATTCCACTTCACAGCATTCAAGGGAGGGATCACATTTTCATGGGGGCACTGGCATTGTGCCAGTGTCAAACCATGACAGGGTCACTTGTCACCTGCTCTTCTCCAGGCTGAACAAGCAAATTTACCTCAGACCTTCCTTGTAAATCTGGCCCTCAAGATTTTTCACCTTCATAGTAGCCCTCCTTTTGATATGTATGATTATAATTTGCACCAATGAAATATTGTTGTATTGAATCAAGGGAAATATGTTTTGGCATGTATTATATTTAGTTATTACCAGCACTGTGAGCTGCCCCCCTACTTCACATATTCAGTTACACCAGAGCCGGTCTTTTTCGGACAATGACTCATTTACAATCTAATACATGTGGCTAGTCCAGAGGTGGGCTGTCCCAAAAAGATACTAGAACACCTGGGACCTGATCATCTTGGTAATGACCCAAGACTGGGATCATTTGGATCGCTGTGAAATGAACAGGGTCTATGCCTTTATTAGTGTTCAGCTCTTTATTAAAAAGTCAGCTCGGCAGGGGGGTGTTGTAGATTCTTCCGGTAGCCGAAGGATGAGAAGGCTGCAGAGTCTGTCCCTGGAGTCTCCGTGGCACACTGGCAGCTGGAGGTGAAGATGTGTCCAGTCTGTATCTGCAGTCCCGATCAGCAGAGCGTCCTCTCTCCTTTCCTCCTGGTACACTGGTAGCCGCAGGGTGGGGGGATATACAGGGCCTGCTGCCGAGGTCCAGCAGCAGCTATCCCTCTCCTTCCCTCCTGGTAACACCAGGAAGAGTGACTGCCTTCCTTGTGCCTGCTTCCCACAGCCCAGTCCAGTCTGGACCTCTGCAGGTTATGGTGACAGGTCAAACACAGCCTAGGGATGGGGTTCCCTTTTCCCCAACCTGCACACCCATCCAGCCCCCTCCACTGTGCCCCTCTTTTTCATTTTGGGGTGGTTTTCATCCCCAGAACCCCCTCCCATGATTCCACTGGATTATTTTGCATCCCAGTCCTAGGGGCTGATACATCTGAATGCCACAGTTCCCCTAACCATCAGGAAAAATTGTAGACACCTGGACCTGGATTGTTCAGCCCCCAGCTTGGAGAGAAGAACTTTATGAATATGTGGGGCTCTGAATGGAAAGAAAAGGCAGATGGCTGAAATCCTGGCCTTGGGCAGAAAATTTCCTATAAGAACTGCAGGGTCCAGGAGGGTGGTGTGTGTGTCCAGGGGAACCTCTGCCAAGAGGCGTCCTTCCTCGGCACTGTCCTTTTCCTTGTGGCTGGCTCAGAGAGAATTCGATCCTAAATAAATTTTTTATTATTTCATTTTTAACTTGGCTGGACTAATTTTCATTTATAACACTTGGAACACACTCACACAGTCTGATGCCCTTCTTGTATGTATCCTACTTTCAGGGTTTCTCTAAATGGGATAAGGCTGCCTGAATAAAGAGACCAGAGCAGAAGGGTTGCACAGATGGAATAGGGTTGTGTTAGAACTGGGAATTTTGTATAAAATGGCTGTGAGCCATCAGCAACTCTCCTTCATGATCCAAAGAATCCAATTCTGTTAACATGGTCTGATTTAGATTGCCGAAAATGCTTGTTTTTTTTTTTTTTTTTAGCTCAAATGTTGGCTGTGCTGTGAGAAGGCACAATGGCAGGTAGGACCAGGGATTTCCTTATCCATGGCAAGGGTAAGGAATGGCTACAGGGAGTGGGATGGAGGGTGGAAGGGTGGGGAAAATGGTGGTAAAGTGGCAGGTATAAGTTGTCTCTTGTCTAGCAACAGCATGGACTTTGCATCAGGGACATGCAGCATGCAGGAAGGGGTACAGATTTTGGCTGCAAAAAATTAGAAAATTACCCCAGGTCAAGATAATGCTCTGAGAAGAGACTCTTTTAAGAAGCAGCCCACATCATACTCTAGCAGCTGGCTGGCATAAAATGCTGAAGAGAAGAAGCAGACAAAATTTGAGGTAATGGTCAACAAAGCTCACAGGGCATGGAGTGCTCCTGAGCATCTGTGGCAAGATCAGAGTCTGATTTGATAATTCTGATCTGTAAAGGAAACACATCCATTGTTAAGTTGCTTGAATTATATACTTTTTAAGAAAGTAGAAGCACATGATAAGTATAAACAATTACTGCAAAAAAGCTGTGCATGGTTGGAGCCTGTCTTTTAACCTTGCTGGAAATATTTCATTGTCTTACTGTGAGACTTTGAGAAGAGTTAACCTCTCTGCCAGTTTTCAAGTTCCTAACTTGGATATGATTAACCTCACTGTAGTACTGGAAGGATAGCTAATAAGCAGCTATAAAATACTAAACACTGTATGGAAGATAAAAGAATCAACAGAAAAATCTGAATAAATAACACTGAAAAGAGTACAAGGTACTTCATTTACCTTGTCACTCTATTGGTATGCTTTTCATCCATCTGTCGTTTTTACAGATTGTGAGCTCCTTGGAAAAGAATCTGTGTCTGTCCTCAGCACCACCAAAAAACATGCCACAAAGATGAAGTAATATTGTGAAATAACTATCATAGCTGTTGGAAGTGTACCGCCCATTATACCTGGGCATGTTTGTGAAGTTCTGAGTGTGCTCCTTCCCCCACGACTTCCACGAGGTGAGGAAGCACTCCTCTGTTCATTCCACACAAGGACACAGAACAGTGAAGCCTGGAAACTATGTCAGGGCAATGAAACCTCAGCAGTCCTACGGACCAGGAATAGCACCCAGGTGGGGTGGCACTCTTCAGACACCTTTGCTTAGACAAACCACCCAGAGGAGGCCAGATGTGACATAAGACCTTCAACAGGACCTGTGTCTTTCTGAACTGGAGGGGCAGAACAAGTAA